GGCACAGAGGCCCCCCCTCCAGTCCCCTCTCTGTCCCACCTGGACTCAGCTCCGTCCTTAGCCAACTCACACGTAGTGGGTCTCCGCTTTAGATGGCACTGCCCTGGAGTTGGCGCCATGGGAGCTGGCTGGCCCAGGAACAGGGTGGCTTCCCTGCTCCCTTGGGACCCACAGCCTTTGCCAAAATCCTCCTTCCACCTGCAGCTCACTCTGTGAGACCCTCTTGATATGTTTTATATAGTTTTGACTCCCCCCCCTTATTTTTTGTAGAAATAAAAATTGACCTTAGAAGTAAAAAATAAAATTCCAGTCTCAGGAACTCATAGGGGTAGTTCTACCCTGTCCTATAGGGTCGCTACCAGACAAAATCGGCTTAATAACTGTGAGTTGCAAGCTTATCTATAGGATCCCTGGTGCTTTAGTGGGTCATGCCTTGAACTGCTAACCAAAAGACGAGCGGTTCAAATCCACCAGGCACCCTGAGGGAGAAAGAGGAGACTGTCTCTTCCTGTAGAGTTACAGCCTCAGAAACCCACTGGGCATCTCCCCCCTGCCCTCTAGGGGCAGTCTGAGTCAGAGTGTACTCGATGGCAGTGAATTTGGCGTTTTGTTTCGCAAAGAGCTCTTGTGTCTTCCTCTACCAGAGGGGGGATTTTTTTTGGGGGGGGCGGGCGGGGATTCTGGAAGCCTGGGCAGCTGTGGTGGGAGTCTGGGGGGCTCCTGACTCTCCAGCCTCCCCTCCTTTGACCTAGAGTGGCCCATTGGCCCTCTCTCCGAGGCTGGCTGGCTGGGAGCTCCCGGTCTGCATACTTTGATTGTGAACTTTGAGTCTGAACTTAAGGAGGTTGTTTTGCTTGAGTTGTTTGGAGAAGAGCAAGGTTGATGGTCCTCAGCTTGGGGGGTGGGGGGGAGGTGGTGCCCCTGGGGCTGGGGATGAAGGCGGGTCCTTCCTGGACCCAGGCAGCCCCTGGGGTGAGCCCAGGCCGATCCCAGATGTTCTCTCTGTAAAGAAGGGGTGGTGGTAGGCAGATGGTCTTGTAGGGTCTGAACCCATTGAGAGGAGTCTCCTGGGTCCAGCCCCTCCCCAGCCCAGAGGATCACGGGGCCTGATCTCACTGGGTTGGGCTGCCCACACTCTCTCGGTGCTCCCGAGCCCTCCCCTTCTCCCCAAGTCAACATCCGCTCTGTGTCTCCTCCCCACTTGAAATCGGAATCCGGGATCCAGGGGAAGCTCTACCCGGCAGAACATTCCATCCCGCTCTCTCCACACAGCTGGCCGGGGGTGGGGCAGCCAGAGCCCAGCTTTGAGGAGCCCCAGAGCCTATTGTTTCCTGGAAAGTGGGGTAGTCCGGGCTGCCAAAGGGGAGAGGACACCCCAAAAGAGACTTATACACGTCTGCCAGGTGTGCACAGCAGCCCAGAGGTGACTGGCGGCCTATGAGTCTTCCCCCTGCCTCAGCTGCCTGGGGGCAGGGCAGGGGTAGGAATGATCCCTGGACAACCAGCCTAAGAGGTAACTTGGGGCAGCAGCTCTGACTGGCGGGCAGCTCCAGACCTGGCCACTTTTCACCTCCAACCCACTATTGGCAGGCCTCCCAGCCTCAGTTTCCTCATCTCCAGCAGGACAGGGTGGGGCTCTACTGGCTGTGAAGAAGCCACAGCACAGGGCCAAGGCCCGCACGGCTCCCCATCCAGCTCACGGGTCTATAAGTCCAGGAAACAGCTAGATCCTCTGTCTAGTGCCCCAGAGGAGCTGACTCCCATGGTCCTCGGAAGGCCTGCCTGGGACTTGACTCCGCTGCACTGCCACCGGTCAGGCTGGGCTCCTGCCCCTCCCCTCCTGTCCCTCCTGTGAAGAGGAGCAGACCCCCTCCCCCCACACACACACCCTTTATACATCCTGTTTTCCATTCATTGCTTCCAGATAGAGCCAGAGGCTGCCTGCAGAGGAAGGTGGGGGGCGAGGGAGAGGACTCGAGAGAGGTTAGTTTGGGGTTCAGCAAGGAGCAAAAACAGGAAGGGGGTGGGAGCAGGCCTCGGAAAATCCATTGCCAGGAAAGGCAGGCCAACATCTGCTAGGCATTAGCGGGAGAGCACTTGGAAGTGGGAGGGCCATCCTGCTGCCCGCTGGCGGGGGCACAGCCGGGGCAATGAGCCGGAGGCAGTCTTGAAACCCCCCTCCCAGTTCCAGCACCCAGAGGCAGTCTCTAAATGGCACCCCAGATTCAAGCTCCTGGGCGGGGGAGGGGGATGCCAATCTCTAAATGACCCTCCAATTCTTGCTCCCAAGGGCAGTCTCTCAATCACACACACATCCCCAATTTCAAGATGAACCGATCTCCATAGGGGCCATGCCCGTCCAAACAAACACCTCCCCTCCCGCCTTGCAGCCTCACTTAGGCACCTCTCATATTTGTGGCGCCTGAGAGGGTCATTCACGGTTCCTCTGGCACCCCCTTGGACTGGCACCCCGGGGACAAGTGTCCCCTCGGCCCTCTCACTTCCCCATCCCCAAGACCTCCATGTCTACCCCACTGGAGAGAGGACGTGGGGAGGACTGGGTTAAAACAGTGGTCCCTCCATTGCCGGGAAAGAGGTGGAAAGGCTGGGGGCGGGGAAGAGAAACAGGATTTAGTGCGCAAGGTGGCTGCCATCGCAAATGGCCTCTTTGCTGGTCAGCATTTAGGAGGGCAGAGTTATTCTAATTTTATAGATGAGGGAATGATATGTTGAGCAAATTGCCCCAGGCCACCCAGCCCGCTAGCTAGTGAGAGGGCCGTGGTCCACAGGCAGGCTTTTCCCAGCGTGGTAACCTGAGGAGGGGCCGCACATTACTGTGTAAGCCTGGATGGAGCCGGGCCTGGGGCACACAAGGAGAGCTCCCATGTAGCCTGGGGTGTCTCCCCTTCGTTGGCCCAGAGCCTGGGCAGGAGGCCCCAGCCGCCTGCTGAGTGAGTGAGTGAGAGAGCAAGCGGAGGGGAGTTAATAATTATGGGGTTTCAGAGATAGAGGCCCCATCTGGGAGGTGCCTCCCTCCCGGCCACCCACTGCTCCTCAGAGATAGCAAAGGTTAGTAGGAGACTGGTCTTGGGCGTGCGGAGAAGGCTCCGTCCCCTGCCCGCTTGGCTGTCTCTAGAGGGAGACCCTTGGCCTGGCTAAAGACATGGGCAGCCCACAGGAACCTGCCAGATGTCCCGCCCGAGGGGCGTGCCCTGTGTTCCTGGCCATGAGCTCAGGGACTGTCCGTTATGCCCCATCAGGCCTGAGTCCTGACCTTGAGGGGAGCTTGGGAGAGGAGGCCTGGGACACAGACAGGTGAGCCGGGACCTGGGACAGGATGGGAGGAATCTGGTCCTTCTGCAGGGGAGCCTTTCAAGGGGGTGTTTAGAGCCGGTTGGGTAGGGAGGTGAGAAAAGCCCGAGACTATGAAAAATGTCAGCGCTGTGTGCTAGGGCTGCCAAGCTGCAAGGTCAGCCATTCAAACTCACCAGCTGCTTTGCTGGAGAAAGATGAGGCTAGCTGCTGCCATTAAGATTTACAGCCTCAGAAGCACTCCGGAAGGTCGCTGTGGGTAGGCATGAACTTGATGGTTGTGCGGTTGGTGGGTTGGATGTACAAGGCCGGCACCAGGAGGTGGCTTTGAGTGCTTGTCTGTCTAGCTCGGTTGCTGTACACAGATAGAGCCTGAGGCTCAGAGAGGGTCAGACACTTGCCCCAGGTCACACATGGAGCCGACATAAGTCCAGAATCAAGGCTTAGCTCATCCAGACTGGCTGTTCTTCTTCCTCTTCTTCTTCTTCTTCTTTTTAAAGTTTTATTGGCATTCAATCTGCGTATCACACAATTCAATAGCTCAATCATACCAGGAAAAATTGTACAATCATCACCACAATCAATTTGAGAACATTTTCTTCACCACCACCACCACCATGATTAAATCGACTTCAAAATGAGTTGTGTAATCACCTTCAGTTCTAGTGCTCACTCCCCCTCCCACCTTCATTGTTTACTCCCAAATCCCCTCACCCTCCCAGTCTCCACCACCCCTAGCCGCCCTGTGTCCCCTACAAACCTGGAATCAGTTATTGTCTCTTTGCTGCCACTCCTGTGCTTCACAAATTGGTAAACCCAACAGAACCATTCAAGAACAACACCGAAATGAAGTGGCAAGGATAAAACGATAGTCATATAAAGATGAAAATACAAACAAGGAGTAAGAAAAAGGACCACCAACAATATTAAAAAAAAACAAACAGAAAAGAAGTTTTTGTCAGGGCACACGCAAGAGATCCTAGAACAAATTGAGGCTGGGGCTAGAGGGAGGTCAGCTGACCAAGTATCAAGTTAGATCAGCCTAATCAGGATGACAATGATCCATGTTTGATAGTAAGGCTGTTCCAGGTCTTTGCCTTTGGCTAGGGGGGGATCTGCCACCGGCTTAGTCTGACTAGTTACTCCACAGATGGGTTTGGGGGCTCCCACTGTCCTCCACAGCCTTCCGCAAATTGGGCGTTCACAATTTCTGCTCTGATGCTCTCCGTCATATTTGGATTTTATGATTGTCATCTTTGGATCACAAGCTGGTGTGCTTTTTCCATGTGGGCTTAGCTGACTCTCACTTAGATGGCTGCTTGTTTGAGTACAAGCCTTTAGGAGCCCAGACACTAGTCCTGTTGCTAGTTGGGCACCATCTGCTTTTTCACCACACTTTGCTGTGATCTTCAGTGACCCTTTCATGCAGGTGAGTCTCGCACAGGGTCATGTTATCAGAACTAACTGGTTTTTGGATTGGGGCTAGGGTCCCAGAGTTCATCTGCTTGTCCCTGAGAGATACACAATCAGGTTTACTGTGGTGGTCCTACGATGACAAATTCAAAACTCCTTAAGATCAACTACCCCAACAACAGCAACAAACCAACTAGCAGACAACAAAAGACAAACAAACTGAAGACAGAAAAACAAAACCCATAGAAACAGAAAAGTAAAACAATGTCAACCATCCCCCTGGGGTATAAGGCGATTGTACTCGTAACATCATTTTTTTCCGGTGACACATCCTCTGGACCTTCGGTATGCAGTCTATGCAAATGCAGTTCCACCGTTAGCCGCAACCCCTGGGTTGTCACTCCCCACAGTTCGAGCTCCCATTCGATTGTGCTGTTCATGCTCTGCTGTACTTCCTGTTGTCTGTTGTCCATTGTCTCCTGCCGCCCTACAAGAGCCTATGGCCCTGGCTGCCAGACTGGGGTCGGGGGTAGGAGAGGTGAGGGTTTGGCTGGAGCAGGGCAGAGGACACACCATTCCTTCTTTCCCCTACCACTCCCACCAGGCACCCTGTAGGCCATCAGGGACCCCTTGTTGTCTGACTGCATGCAGCTTCCAGGGGCCCTCTGGTTTGGGGGGGAGGGGGTGTCTTTTTAGAGCACTACTGTAAGGGGTCTTGGCTTCACTACCACTGGCTATGTGATATCAGGCAGGTCCCTTAACCTCTCTGAACCCATCCTTATCAGTTGAGGAGCAGGGTCTGGGTCGCTGGGATGAGGCTGGGTAACTGGCTGCAGAGATGTTATTG